AAGATAAATATAAATCCTTACCTCACACCAAACATAAAAATTAAAATAAAAAGAACCACTGTACTAAATATAAGGTAAAAAGAAAACATAGGAGAAAATCTTCAGTACCATGTGTTAGGCACAGTTCTTAGATTCAACACCAAAGCACAACCCATAAAGGAAAACACAGGATGCTGGGGGCAGGGGGCAGAGTGACCCTGGAATTCAATGCGAAGGGCACGAGGTTCCATTGTGAGGTGATGTTCTTATACTACATTATGGTGACTTTTGCACAACTCTGCAAATGTACTAAAAACCATTGACTCGTACACTTAAAGTGGGGAATTTTATGAAACTTACATAAAATGTGTCAATGGATAGCAATTACGTATGTAATGTAAAAAAGTTTTAAGCCAAAGTTATTAAATTGACAAGACAGCCTCAATTGTTAACAACTCTCACTACAGCTGCCATCAACAGTTATTAAGGGACTCCTCCTGCCTCTGATTGGTAGTTGTCAGTGAAAAGCCACGCTACCAACCAAACAACACACTCACTGATCAATGGCAAACTGGCTCATGGAGGCCTTTCAAAGTCTGCTCTTTAACTTTCTCCGTTACATCATCTACTTGTAGTAGCATAGAAAATATTAATATTGTCATGGAAAGGATGAGTTAATTTTGTAAAAACTTATTTTGTAAAAACTAAATTTCAAATCATCTGTGGCAAATTTGAGATATGGCAAAGAAAAAAGAAAATGGATTCAAGAAGTCAAAGGAAGACACTGTTCATGGAAAATAGGAGCAGAGGGAAATGATCAGACAGGAAGAGGTCAACATCAGGACAAGAGCTCCCAAGGAGGCCAGTGGACAGGGGAGCCCCAGCATGGAGGAGGACCCGCTCGAGCAGTGCTTCCATCATAGCACTGCTCAGGGCTGCCCCTCAGCAAAGACCAGGGAAGGCCCCGTCTCCCCACAGCTCCCCAGCGTTGCTAGTGACCTGCTCTCCTGCACCTCAGAACTGTTCTGTAATTTACAATGGGGTACGTTCTGAACGTTCTTAGGAAATTACCACCCCACATGCAGACTTCAAAGATAGCTGCTTTCCACAACAAAGCATATGTATACTTTATTACTGATTTTAATCCCACAACTTTAAGCACTAAAAAATCCTGTTTTATTAAAAAGCGGCGTTATAAAAATACCTTTAAATACATATTATCTTAAAAACAGTTAACAACTAAATACTGTTGTTGTTGCGGTTGTCACACACCGGGTACTGCGAAACTTCACAATCGTTGTTAAGTAAGCCTGAGCCCACTGCTGCTGCCACTCTGCTAATCCATCTCACTGAAGGTCTTCCTCGTTTTCGCTGACCCTCCACTTTACCTAGCATCATGTCCTTCTCCAGGGACTGCTCTCTCCTGATAATATGCTTTAAGTATGAAAGGCAAAGTCTTGTCAGCCTGGCTTCAAGGAGCAATTTGGTTGTACTTTTTCCAGAACACCTTTGTGTGTATTTCTAGCAGTCCATGGTACTTGTAATATTCTTCTCCAACACCATAACTCAAATGCATCAATTCATCTAGTCTTCCTTATTCACTGTCCAACTTTCACACACAGGTCAAACTATCGACAATACCATGGCTTTTAAAACAAAAAGATGGAAAATCTAACTGCCCAACAATGGTAGAAAGGAGACTCCAATTCTGGAACCTACACACGATGGAATACTACGCAACACTGAAGAGTAACACTGAATCTGCGGAACATCTCATAACAAGGATGCTGAGAGAAATGAGTCAATCGCAAAATGGTAACTATTGTACGAGACCTTCGATGGTTACCAGGGGCGGCAATATACAAGAAGGAGGAGGGTGGCAGAAGAATGATGAAGGCAGGCGAAGGCACATGTACAGAGTGACACCCACACAACCTTGGAACAACAGTGTTCTGTGTAGCTACACAGACACAGACACAGGCTGAACGGGCATGGGAAGAAGAATGGGATATACGTACACACATACATACACATCCCAAAAGTATTTTCAAAGTGTGAAAGAGGCTATTTTTTTCACGGGTAATCACAGGAAAGAAGCAGGACACCTGTTGCTACATGGAGGGGACTGCAATCATGGAGATGAGACAAAGCGTATCATTTGTTATGTAAAAGTAGCAAACCTTCCTGCAAGTCACAATTTAAAAAACAAAAAAAGAAAGAAAATACTAAAGCTTGGTTCCCCTGCACTCTATTCCTCAAACTAACATCTTTGTTCTTAAAAATGCTTTAAAGAGGTCTTATGCAGCAGATTTGCCTAATGCAGTAAATACATCATTGGATTTCCTGACTGCTGTTCCCATGTGAGTGTTGCTACTGGATCCAAGCAAAATGAAGCCTTTAACAATTTCAATCCTTTCCCCATTATCATAAATGTTATTTATTGGTCCAGTGGGGAGGAGTTCTGTTTTCTTTACATTTATGTAACTCATACTGAAGGCTATGGTCTATGATCTTCATCAGTTAGTATTTTAAGTTCTCTCCACTTTCAGCAAGCAAGGTTGTATCATCTGCATATAGCAGACTGTTAATGAATCTTCCTCCAATCCTGATGCCTCATTTTTCTTCATATACTTTAGCTTCTCAGATTATTTGCTCAGCATACAAACTGAATACATATGGTGAAAAAATACAACCCTGTCACACACCTTTCCTGGTTTTAAACCATTCATTCAGTGTCCCAGTGTTGTGTTTGAATGACCGCCTCTTGGTGCACGCCCAGAGTCCTCATGAGTATAATGAAGTATTCTGGAATTTCATCCTCTGCAATGTTGTCCTTAGATTGTCAGAATCCACACAGTCAATGACCTATGCATAGTCAATGAAGCTCAGAGTATCTTTCTGATACTCTCTGCTTCAGCGAAGAGCCATCTGACATCAGCAGTATCATCCCTCATTCCACGTCCTCGTCTGAATCTGATGTGAACTTCTGGCTGTTCCATCAATGTACTGCTGCAGCCATTTTTAAATTATCTTTAGCATATTTTACTTGCATGTGATATAATGATATTGTCGAATGATTTCCACATTCCCTTGGGTCGCCTCTCTTTGGGAATAGGCACAAATGAATCTCTTCCCATCTGTATTACAAATTTCTTGGCAGAGATGAGTGAGTGCCTCCAGTGCTCAGTTTGTTCAGAGATTTCAATGTGTATTCCATCAACTCCCAGAACCTGGTTCTTTGCCAATACCCTCAAGTGCACGTTGGACTTCTTTCTTTAGGATCACTGGCTCTTGATCACATCCTGTCAATTTTTTGACACCACTCCAGAAACTATTGCTATTGACTGTTTGGCTATTATATGAACAAACAAGCTGTTCACCTGAGAGCCATCAAGGCAAGCCATCCAGTCCCTACAGGACAAACCCCCTTCCAAGACTGTAACTCAAAGGGAACACACGAACAGGCTTGTAATCTCACTGGTGACTGACTGCACTGGACTACTTGTGAGTGAAAGTGGCGGAAAGGCAGTAATGAAAACATGGATTGAGTTCTCCCACGGTCCACAGACTCCTTGAAATGAGAGAGAGAAGACGAAGGGCTAGTTAGTCCAAAGTGTGGGGAGATTTGGGAAGTCCTGAGCTCATAGACACTGACCTAGCCACGGAGGGTAGAGTTGAGAGTGAAGCATTCAGCGGATAAGAAGTGGGGGCAGAAGCACAAGAACGCCCAAACTTGTAGACAGTACCCATTTGACCTAGCTGCGATGGATCGATGACCAGAGCTTGATTGGTGGTGTGGCTGTGTGCCATGGAGTCGGTTCTGACCCACAGTAACCCTGTACAGGATTTCCAAGGCTGTAAATCTTTACGGGAGCAGAACACCCCATCTTTCTCCCACGGAACAGCTGGCAATTGATTTGAGTTAGATAAAGAAATTTGCATGGAGGAGACTGTAATCATCGAAATGAAGCAAAGTATGATTCGATGAGTGCAAACCTGATATTCAACACTGTAAACTATCACTTAATTCATAATAAAAGCTTGCGAGAAGAAAAAAAACTACTGCTGTTTAAAAAACTCATGGCAAACACTTCAAGTGTACATTTTAAATGAGGTTATGAATTGTAAAACTATAACATAAAGCAATAATTTCCCAGAGGAATATTTTCTGAATCAAAAAGAAATACTCAAGAATTTTCAAATAAAAATATGAAGAGTCCACAGAGCAGAAAAGGCATTACCCCAAAACAGAGAGTACCGTCAACGCCACAGTTTCAGCCAACCACACCTCTGCTTCAGTTCCTACCCCTAGAGAAAGAGAAATCACTTCTGGGTCTGTCTACTTACCATCAGTCCTGATACCAGAAGCACAATTAAAATTTTCCAAGAGGTCTGAAAAGACTTCCGAGCTTCCAATTCGGAAATCTGTCGTCTCGCTTAATCCTGTATCAGCAGCCAGTTTTGTGATAACTATCAGAAAAGACTAAGGCGCTCTGGTAGCGTAGTGGTTACGAATCGGGCTGCGAACCGCAAGGTCAGCAGTTTGAAACTACCAGCCATTCCGCAGGAGAAAGATGAGGCTTTCTGCTCCCGTAAAGATTTACAGCCTCTGAAACCCTGTCTAGAGTCGCTGTGAGTAGGAACCGACTCCATGGCACATTACAACAACAACATCAGAAAAGACTTGCCTTTCTATCTGAAAACATGTTCAGCTGCCTTATCACACCTATCACCTGGCTCCCCTCACTGGGGTGTCAGCTTCCTGAAGGCAGACTGTAGTCTGCTCAGGTCCCTGTCTGGTCACATCGAGCACCTACAGGAGGGTCTGCTTGGTGCATCCATATAGAGTGAAGGCGGGAGGAAAGGAAGGGGCTGTAACGTACTTCTGTGGTAACTCTCTCAAGTTTCCCTACTGAAGTCTCTACCTCATGAAATATACAGCATATGTTTCCACTCCCAGGATCAGCTGACAGCCCTTTATAAGGCTCCATCAGTATGATGTCAATTACACTGCACAGTACCTGTCAACAGGGATTCTTGCTCCGTTTGCAGTTCACGTAAAAGAAGAATCAATTCAACAGCAACAGCAATTGTGTCCAAATTCCTGGATTATGTTAAAAAGAAAAGAAAAAAAAGAGGCAAAGTTAACTATATTTGTTTCTTAAACCTGCATTTCACTGTTGTTGTTGTCAGGTGCCATCGAGTCGGAACCGACTCATAGCGACTCCATGCACAGCAGAATGAAACAATGTTCGATCCTGGGCCAACCTCACCACCGCTGCCACCCCCGAGTCCATCAATGATGCCACCTGGCCGATCCATCTCGTTGGAG